CATCTTCCTCAATAAAAGCATTCATTAAATCCTTCATCGATAATGATTCTCTGGATGTTAATCGATCTGCTAAACGATCAAATTGTGGTCGTGGCAACATGCTAATTGCGATGATGCATCGGGTTTTCTCGGACAACTTCACCCAGTCTGATTCTGCATCTTCAAAACATGCAGTAAGAGCTTGAAACCATAATCGTAACTCACCACCGTTGTACTTAGCCGACATAATCTTGATAGTTTAAAACAATTTATTGAAAGATTAACACCGCAAAAAAATATTGAAAGTATAGCCTAAACGGCCACTCAATATATACGCAAAATTGGGCTTATTTAATTATGGAATTAATTAATTATGAACAAACCCGAACTTCTTGTTCAGCAACCATTTGGTCACTGTCAAGAACGAAAATTTCAAACAAATGCGATCAACGACATTCCAATCATCATCAAAAATCAATCAACTTATTTGTTTTTTTTAAATTTATTTTTTTATGTTGTTTTTTCATATTTTATCTTTTTTTTATCATTTATTTTGATTTTGTAATTTTTTTTATTGATCAATTTTCAAAATATTCCCGAAAGCACCATTATTCAAAAAAAAGAAAGTTCCCGAGAAAAGTTTTCAGCAGCTCGACTCATTTTTTGGAAGTCTTACTTTGCATGAAAAGACATTGAAAAGTCTAACTATAGTGTTCTTGTACGATTTGTTTTTGATTTAAAAAATTGTCTATATTGTAAATTAATACAAATTTTAAATAATTATTTTAGAATTGAAAAAATGGTCCGACTTAATGCCATACGAATTCGTGAACAGGTTTATCCCGATCCAGGTAATATCATTTTTTTACTACTATTATTTTCAATTTGTATTGTTTTTTTAATCAAAGACTATGAACACTTGGATATCATAAAAATCAATCGAATGACCGATGCTGATTGTCGACGAGTTCTTGATTCATTGAAACAAAACGATGTTTCAAGTTCAATTAATCGTAATAAAGTCAGTGAAAATAAAATTCGTTTCAATTCGAAGCATTCGCAATTTCAACAGCATAACAATGAATCTAACCATGTGACACAACCTTTGAAAAAAACACGTCTTGATGATCAAAACAAACAGGAAAAGGATGAAATCGGATGTGCTCCAGTAAATCGAATGCTGCCATCAAAATCGGAACCTAAAGCTAATGATAAATTTGCTAAACCAGTAACACAATTCAAGGAAATTTCTAGTTTTCTAATTGAACCACCTCCTGATTGTTATTCTAAAGCAGCTCAAGATTCCCGTTTGGCTTTTCGAGTCATCTATGGTCGATACAAGCCATACAAAAAGAATAAAGAGTGGACATATGATGGCTTTTTGGCTATCAAACCAGATGGAATTACTCTTTTTAAATGTTCAGGAGCTGTGTAAGTATTATTCTTATAAAGAGAATTTTTTTTTCTTAATTATTTTACTTGAATTCATTATCCAATTCCAGTGAAAGTCGTTTGGAACGTCCAACTGAAAAAATACCAAAATATTTTTCAACCGGTACTCATTTAATTATTGGACGATGGGAATGTGAAATATGTGATCAATTATTGTTCAGTGAATTCGAAACTGGAGCTTATTTTGCTCCCGATAATTAAAATTGATTAGATTGAGTTTTTTTCAATTATCACAATTAAATTGAAAAACTTTGTTTTTCCAAATAAAATTATAAATTTAACCATTATGATGTATTTGTTACAATTACAATTATATTATAGAACTTTGTTTGTTTGTTAAGCTACATTCAACAAAAAGATTAAAGAAGTAATTGAGAAGTATGCTTTTTGGTTCAGAAAATTCGCTAATGCTAAACAATATTCTGGAACTGTTACTAACGAGTTAACAAACGAACATACTAATTATCAACAGTCAAACATTACAACAAAGATTTCAGGTGAAATTCCATCGACTAAACAATTCGATCCTGTTACAAATGTAACAAAGACTTTTTTCGGTTCCTAATCAAACAAAAGCAGAAAGTTCTATGGAACAAGTTGTTAAAAAAGATCTAATGATCATTTCGTATTCAGAAATTTTAGAACCAGAAGACGATCTAGTTATTTATAATGTCCAAATAACCGATAGTGAACATGATGGTCAATCAAAAGAAAGTTTCCAAAGTTATAATGAATATACTGATGCATCTAATGACCAATTCGAAGCAATTAATAAGACGCAGGATAAAGTTTCGTCAGTAAAGACACAAGTGTGAATTTGAGAGTTATTGATCATTTTTAAGCAGAAGCAAAGCGAATCCTGATAATCAATTTCCTTTCTGATTTCATGGTTAAGCAAGCACGAGTTACCACAGCTATTCTTATCAATATTATTGACTATTAGGAGATTTTGAAAAGGTCAAAAGTAAAGCAAATTTTGTTGCTTGTCCACTGTCTCTTTGGTTGGGAAAATGTAATGAATTGGATTAGGATTAATTCAATGAATTATATTTAACAATCATTCTTGATTAATATAAATCAAGAACTAGATTATTATGATTAAATCCTTTACCAAGTTTAATAAGTAATTTGTTTCAATTTCGTGTTTAATTCTAAATTGTTATAAATCACATTCATGATTTCAAGATAAGTAACAACAGAATTTATGTGAATTTCAGTTAAAATTTTCTTTTCTAAAAATTTTATCTGATTAATTTCTTCAAACAAATTGTTTGGATTGATTGATCTTTCGAAACGAAAAATCAAAAAACCTGAAAATGATGCTGTATCCAGTTAAAGATTGGACAATTAAAACGTATACGGACGCTAGTTTCCGATCC